CCTTGCCCCTTATCTCTGCCAGTGAATATGGATAATTTACAAACAAGATAAGAACTGAAAATTAAAAGCTAACATACATGCACGACCATTCTCCTGAAAGACTCCTCCCATGAAAATGATTTGCCTATAAAGCAGAATACTAACTGAAGAAGGTTTCATCAAAGATTGATTAAAAAAAACTCTAACTTGATGGTTTAATTGCAGTTAATCCTATGAACTATATAACAAACCAAGTATTGAAGAATGCTTATTAACAATGCTAGAAATTTAGATATGGCTAACAAAATTCTATTAACTCACTGACACATCTGTCAATCTTGATATTTTAACCCACAAAAGATTTCAAAATAATATAAAGTTTGCCATTATCCCCATTCTCATTTAACGCTTTTACGCATCATGTTGGTTATGCATAACGATTCCAAGTAATTAAAAAAAAGTCAATGGGAAGACACAACTTATGATCGTCTCTCCGTAAAATAAGTCTGTCTTTGATTCTTAACCTAGGTAAACAATGAGCAAGATAAGGGCGTATCACTACATTAAAGGTATAGTGCAAGACCATAAAAATTACATGGCATCGTAAATAATACACAAAAATCACCAATACTAATCAAAGAATAGAACCACATACCCTCTGTGCATATGCATTGACTAATGCATTATACATGGTCGGCGAGGGCTTCATACCTACAGCCTTCATCATCTCCAAACATTCAATCGCATCCTTAAACCTCCCTGACTTCCCATAAACATCAACCAACGTAGTATAAGTCACCACATTTGGCATCAAACCTTGACCTTTCATCCTCTCCAACACCTCCTTCAACTCCTCCCACAGCTCCTGCTCCCCTAGTGAATTGATCAAAATGTTATAAGTCGTCCTACAGGGCTTACACCCGCTCTCCTTCATCTCATCAAACAGCTTCATCCCCTTATCATGCCTCCCCGCCTTACAATGTGCATCAATCAACGTGTTCCATGTAACAACATCAGGCTCAATCCCATCCGCCCTCATCTGATCAAATGCATCCATCGCGTGATGCAAACAATTATACTTCCCAAATGCGTCGATCATCACATTATAAAAATGCCTATCGGGCCTAACCCCAACATTCCTCATCTCCCTCAACACTGAGAACGCCTTCTGCCAATCACCTCTATCCCTAAAACTCGCAAGAATCCTACCAAAAACATAAGAATTCGGCGGCACCTCCTTCTCCTCCATCTCCTTAATCATAATCCTTGCACTCTCCCACCTCCCCGCGTTGGTATAGGCATCAATTAACAAGCTATACGTCCTCTCATCCGGAGACACCCCACACCTCTCCATTTCACCAAACACCTGCTCTGCATCCTTCAAAGACCCAACCTTTACATACCCTTTCAACAAAGCATTGTAAGCCCTAATCCTCGGCTGCAGCCCTTCGCACCTAATCTCCTCGAAAACGGCCTCAGCCTCCTCAACTCGTCCCTCAGCCCCCAGTGCCGATATAAGCGCCACAACCGCAGGAGACTTCGGTGTAAGCCCCTGAGCCTGTGCAACAGCCAGAAGCGACAGAGCCCTATCAGGATTCCCGGAGACCGAGAATGCGAGAATGAGATCGGATAAGAGTCGAGCATCAGACTCAATGGACTGCGAATTGAGGTCAGAGAGGACGGAGAGGAGCAAAGCTGGGTCGGGGGGGTCGGGGCAACGGAGGAGAGACTGGACGATGAGGGTGTAATTCGCGTGGTCGGACAAAAGGTCGAATCTTTCGCGCATGAGTTGGAGAATTGAGAGGGCATGGTCGGGGCGGCCGTTGAGGGCGGAGGCGGAGACGAGGGCGTTGAAGGTGAGGGGGGATGGGGAGGGGTTTACGGAGTCGAAGAGGGAGCAAGCGAGGCGGAGGCGGTGGGATTTAGAGAGGGAGTGGA